TGGCTATTCTAGAAAATTTTCTCCAAATTGGTCTTGTAGAGCATGTCCTTGTAGGCTGCAGAGCACCCCCTCCTCCTGCTGCTTCTCTCTCCATCTCTGTTTCCTCACACATCAGCCAAGCATTTGCATCACAGTCTGACTTCTCTCTCCTGCCTCCCCTTCTCCTACCGTCCTGCTAATCTGCCAGACTCCATTGATCACACAAGGCTTGCTGTGGCTCCTTGAGCACCCCCTCATTGGCTCCTCACTTCTGTCTGTCCAATCAGGGCCAGAGGCCCCTTTCCTGGGAGGTTACTGGGCAGCTTTGAGAGGCTGCTCAGGGGGGATGAAGGTGCAGTGGAAGCAGGCCTATTGGCATTCCGAGGTGATTTACATCAGAGAAGATCTGTCCCCATCTCCCTCTGCCTGCCTCAAGAGACATCTGCAGGCTAATCAAAGAGGAATAAAGAAAGGGGTGAAGGTCTAGGAAGGTGGGCTGGGGGAACCCACTTGGTGTCTGAAGTGGCCTGGCCTGCTCAGGAGGACTTGGACTTGGTCCTGAACTGGGACAGACTAGTGTAGTCTCAGTGTAAGGTCTTGCTGAGAGTTGGCACAGAGAGGGGTACTGCCTAGTGGGGCTACATCTAGTGAGGCTCCAGAAGTGTGCTTTGAGGGACAGCTGAAGTAGAAGGTGACAAGCCACCTATCCTTTTGGTGGCCCAGGTGAGGCCCCTAAGCAGAGTGATATGGCACTTCCTAAGGAACCAGACTTCTCCCCATCAAGGTAGAAATGGAGTGCAAGAAGTGGATCTTTTGACCAGTAATATGTTCATACAGGCCATTTTGTAGATGAGGGCACCCACCAGCAACAAAACATCCAAATTCTAGAAGTGGCATATACTCTGGCTTGGGAGTGCCTTGCCAGGAGTAGTCCTACATAACAGGTCCACAAGCTTTGTAGCTCAGCACCACTTTACAGATGAAAAGAGCAAGGCTTAGAGAGTGGGATGGCATCACAGCCATGTGAGGCCACTTAAAGGTAAAGAGCAGAGATGTCTTTGCTCTCAGGTCAGGTGGCCCTTCTGAATAACAGGGTTCATGGGTCAGGGGAAGTATAAGAATGGCAGGTCCTGGGCAGGCAGGAGGTCTCCTGTCCTATTTTCAAAGGTGGCTGAAAATGTAACAATCCAGCAATTCAGTGTTCATCTTGCTTCGCTCTCCACCTTCTCCACGGGGTGAGTGGGGAGGTGCAGTCAGAGCAGCTTATCTCTTCCGTGTCTTCTTGAACATGGTTGACATCTTTCATTTCAGGTGCACAGGGGAAGGAGAACCCACAGCAATGTGGGCTGCCCTCAGAGGGGATTCTGGAGTCCGGTGTGTGGAGTCAGTAGTGGCTGAACCAGGCTGAGCAGCCAACAGACACTGTGTGTGGCTGGCCCAAGTCCAAGAGTCCCCTCCCCGCAGTAGATGTGAATCAGCTGCTGAGGCCAGGTGCAAGTGGGGAGGAGGGGGTCTGGGTCACCTGCACCCCAACATTTTGCTCCAAGGAACACTCCAAGCCATGGAACAGGGGATCAGCAAGGCTACTGCATGGCTGCGGCTCAGACTTCGGCTGCACCCTCCACCCTCTGTAAATGTTGGAAGTACGGCCTGGAGTCAGTTGCCCAACCTCTCTGGGATCCTTTGCTCATGGTGAAGCAAGGATGACAGTAAACTGACTGCTGGCTGTTTGTAGACCTACTTCAGGGCCTGCCTGTTCTGACCCCTGAACTGGGCGCCTGCCTTGTTAGTGTGCTCACAACCCACATCCCAGGGCCTCATGGAAGGGCAGGGCCAAGGCCCCCATCCTGGTACTCAGATCNCCAAATTCTAGAAGTGGCATATACTCTGGCTTGGGAGTGCCTTGCCAGGAGTAGTCCTACATAACAGGTCCACAAGCTTTGTAGCTCAGCACCACTTTACAGATGAAAAGAGCAAGGCTTAGAGAGTGGGATGGCATCACAGCCATGTGAGGCCACTTAAAGGTAAAGAGCAGAGATGTCTTTGCTCTCAGGTCAGGTGGCCCTTCTGAATAACAGGGTTCATGGGTCAGGGGAAGTATAAGAATGGCAGGTCCTGGGCAGGCAGGAGGTCTCCTGTCCTATTTTCAAAGGTGGCTGAAAATGTAACAATCCAGCAATTCAGTGTTCATCTTGCTTCGCTCTCCACCTTCTCCACGGGGTGAGTGGGGAGGTGCAGTCAGAGCAGCTTATCTCTTCCGTGTCTTCTTGAACATGGTTGACATCTTTCATTTCAGGTGCACAGGGGAAGGAGAACCCACAGCAATGTGGGCTGCCCTCAGAGGGGATTCTGGAGTCCGGTGTGTGGAGTCAGTAGTGGCTGAACCAGGCTGAGCAGCCAACAGACACTGTGTGTGGCTGGCCCAAGTCCAAGAGTCCCCTCCCCGCAGTAGATGTGAATCAGCTGCTGAGGCCAGGTGCAAGTGGGGAGGAGGGGGTCTGGGTCACCTGCACCCCAACATTTTGCTCCAAGGAACACTCCAAGCCATGGAACAGGGGATCAGCAAGGCTACTGCATGGCTGCGGCTCAGACTTCGGCTGCACCCTCCACCCTCTGTAAATGTTGGAAGTACGGCCTGGAGTCAGTTGCCCAACCTCTCTGGGATCCTTTGCTCATGGTGAAGCAAGGATGACAGTAAACTGACTGCTGGCTGTTTGTAGACCTACTTCAGGGCCTGCCTGTTCTGACCCCTGAACTGGGCGCCTGCCTTGTTAGTGTGCTCACAACCCACATCCCAGGGCCTCATGGAAGGGCAGGGCCAAGGCCCCCATCCTGGTACTCAGATCTTCTTGCACCATCACTGCCAACATCCAGTCTCAGAGCACCCCCTCCCCCACAGCCTCCTTCCTGGGAAGGGCAGTGGCGATGGGGGTGTGGTGAGGAGGGGGGAGGGTAGAGGAGGCCTGAGGATGGGGAGTTGTCTTCAGCACCTGCAAAGAGCATTCCTTCTGTCCTACTGTGCCCCTTGCCTTTGTGAGGGAAGCTGGCCTCCTGATCCCTGGAGTGCTTCTGCATTGTGCTGCTGGGGCAGCTGCTGCTGTGACCTCCCAACTGAGATAAGATTACTAAACATACCACCTGCTATCCCCCACCCGGAGCTGGTGGACAAAGAGGATGGAAGCTCTTGCAGGAGGCTCTGTGCACCCAAAACAAGGCACTGGACAGTGCAGCACAGCACAGTGAGCTCCCAGAGGCCCAGAGTGTCCACTAGAGGGAGAGAATTCCCAGGACTGTTGCATCAGTACACTCTCCTCGTGTCCCGACCTTTTAGCAGCTTTTGAGGCCCATCCTTAGCTCTCCAAGCAGCCCCAACTCCCCTTTCATTTGCTTAAACCACTGTTTCTTTAGTGTTTATCACACAGGCAATACACGTTTATGACAGAAAAATCAGAACTACAGAGGAACAAAATATTTTGGTATATATCCTTTCAGGTGTTTTTTTCCATGTGCATTTTTATGTAAATATATTTTTAAGTAAATGGCACCATCCTACACATCTCGTTTTAACAACCACTTTTCACTTAATGATATATGAAAACCATACATGCGAAAACTTGTTAAATATCATATATATTAATATCATTTGTAATAGTTTTATAGTATGTGCCTGAATGATGAATCATTTTAGGTTTAAAAATGACTATTGGGAATTTAGATTACTGTCAAGTTTTCACCATCACACTCAATGCTGCGATGACACCCCTCTTGTATACTTGGTTCACTTATGCTGTTGTCTCCTTAGGAGATGTGGCAGTAAGGGGAACCACTTGATCAATAAGCTTGCCCTTTCTAAGGCTTTCAAAAGATATGGAGATTTGTATTCCAAAAAGTTGCCCCTATTGACCTTCCCACCAACAGTGTGTGAGAGCTGCCTAGGAAATGCCCTTTTGAGTGGTCAGCTCCCCATTCTCCAAAACAGCTCCTGTCTGCAGTGAGGATTTTCCCAGCTGCCTCTTAATTGGGTTTCTGCTCTGTTTTGCTCTCTAGAGGGGAGGGGATGGTGGGTCTGAGCAGAGACCTGGGTCCAAGAAGGGGTAAATAATGTTTGGTAAGTCAGAAGCATGGCCCCCACCAACCTCCAGCTCAGCAGCAGGGGTGGTCAGTGCAAGCTGTGTGCTGAGGGTATGAGGAGTGCCTGGACTCTGTCCTCGCTGAGGTTGGTAGAGGAGACAGGTCTTGTCTGGGAAGACTTGGGTCTACAGGACCAAGGCACTCGAGTCAGAGAAGGGGAAAGGCCCCTAGGAACAAGGGCAGGCAAGACAGGCTCTGAAGGGGAGGCAGGAGGAGCTGGAGGGCCACTTTCTAGGGATGCTGAGTCTCATGGTCTTTCCAAAACAGTGTCAGCATTGGGGTGGGGAGTAGAGAGAAAAGTGGCTGGGTAAGTGGACTGGACTGGGAAGTTTGCCCCCAGTCTTAGACAGTGGACAGCCCGCAGAAGTTGAATGAGAAGCCAGGCCAAGTGGGATCAGGGGCCAATGAGCGCTCCTGGAAAGAGGCACAGATAAAAGCAGGTGAGTCAAGGAGGAGGTGAGAAGTGACTGTATCCTGAACCAGGCCTGAGGGTGGGGAGGATGGGGAGAGGAGGGAGTGGTGAAGTGGAGGGAAAAGCCAGATCTCTAGCAGGGATCTAAATATAAACCTTACCTGTCCATCTGTCTGGCTGGCACTCATCACTTTAAAAACCCCTTGACCAAAGAGCTGCCTTCCTCTCCAGTCCCGTGGAAAGGCTCTACTTTCTGACTCTTTCAGATAGATTTTCCCATCAAAAAAAGACATTTGGCCTGGCTGGTGTTGCTCAGTGGTTGAGCATTGACCCATGAACCAGGAGGTCATGGTTCAATTCCTGATCAGGACACATGCCATGGTTTAGGGCTTGATCCCCAGTAGGGGGCATGCAAGAGGCAGCGGATTCTTGACATCATTGATGTTTCTATCTCACTTTCCCTCTCCCTTCCTCTCTCTGAAATCAATAAAAATATATTTTTTTTAAAAAAAGACATTTGACTTCTGAAATGAACCATCGGCCCTGGTCTTTGTCCAAGTCTTCTGACTGGGGTCTTAGCTGTAAAGACAGGGCCTAAGGCAGTGTGGGTACCACCCCAGCTCTTCCCTCCATCACTGTGGGCTCTGTGTGTGGCCCTGCCTCTTTGGTCTGGGAGGCCCCACTGGCCCCTCTACTTCTGTCATCCTGCATGTGTGTGAGTCCCTCCTGATTTTGGAAGTGGTTTATTTGGTTCTAATTAGGCAGAAAACTAGGCAACGTGACCAACAGGTTTGTCAAGAGGAGATTGATGGGTTTCTGAGGAACCTAAAGACTGAGTAGTCAGACTTCCTGAGCTGAGGCCCAGAGGCAGTGAGGGACTCACCCAAGGTCTCACAGTCAGTTAGCAGCACCAGGAGACCAAGGGAACAAGACCTCAGGAGGCAGTTCTGTCTGTGCAACCCACCCACTTCATGAGTTGCTGGGATGGGAAAGTTGGGCATGTGAAGATCACCTGTGGAATGTGCTCTGCTCAGTAGAACTCTGACGTGGCCCCCTTGGTGCAGGAGCTGGGCACACAGGGTGCCCATTCACAATGATGAGGTGCTGTTCCTGGCACACAGCAGGCTCAGGCCTTCTGGGCTGCTCATTTGGTGCAATTTATGGGAAAGCCAGCTCTTGCTGACATGGCAAATTTGGTTTGCTCTTGGCCCCCTGCCCTGCCCATTTTAGTGTGCCCCTGGCCTCCATGGAAATATGTCCAGGACTTGCCAACTAGCAGCAGAGCCCAGCTGCTCAGTCCTGGCCATGGAGGGGCCCAGAGGGTGGCAGACCCCTAAGAGGGAGGCTGCTCTGCCTCAGAACTGTGATAGCAGAGCCAGGGCCCCTGCTTCTCATCATACCAGCTTGCCTGAGACTCCAACTCCTCTCTTGAGGCCCAAGAGGCTGGCTGTAGCAGATCAGGGCTGTGACTAAACCCATGACGCAGGCCTTCCATCTCCCTGCAGCTCTGGGCCAGTCCCAACCTGGAGAACTGGTTTCTTCACTCCCAGGCCTTCCGGGAGCAAAGAGCCTTCACGGTGCTAAAGGCATCAGAGGCTACCACAGCCCACCCCTCACTGGCCACAGGAGGGCAACACCTGGCTGAAGGGCAGAGAGGAAGCAAGGAGGGAGATCAGGGCTAGAAGACAGAGAGAGGAAGAGAAAGCAGAGCACAGGACGTCCCCTGCTTCCCAAACACAGCAGCAAGCCCTTACCAGACCCCCACCCTTGCCTGGTCCCCAAGGGGCCACTAAGAGTTGGCAGTGGGGCCCTGGGCTTTCCTCACTGGAGATGGAGCCAACTCTTGCACACCGCCAGGCCATGCTTTTACTGGTTGAGGACCACCCACAGTCCCCTCTCTCAATGAGGACAGATTGAGAGTTACTGCTCCTGTTCAACTGGCCTGAGGTCTTTGATGTGCCAGGTAGTACCAGGCACTTGAAAGACATTCATGTATTCTGTCCTCCTAGCAGTCATGAAGGATAAACTTTTTAAACTCCCATTTTACAAATAAGAACACTGAGGCAGCCCTAAGAGGTTAACTGACCAGTCCAAGGTCTGTCAGACAGTTACTGAGTACTGAGAGAGATGGTCCAACTTCAAAACAGCTGTTTCCCCCAGTCCCTGCCCTTCCCCGGGTCCCTCCTTCTGAGTCCACTGGTGCTGACCTCCAGAGAGCCTGCTGTTTGTGTGGCATTGTGAAGGCTCCCTCACTGCCACTCTCTCCCTCATACTTTCTATAGCCTGGATTCTGGCCATCAGAGCTAAGAGAGCTTGTAGTGTTCCCTCATCAGCCATCTCTCAAAGAGACAGCCCCTGGCAGCCTATGCCTTGTTCTCCAGGTGAGTGACCCTGGACAGATGTGTGGGTGTTCCACCTGGTGGTGGCAGATCCAGGAAGTGCTCACTCTCTGGCCTCTACCTGCCACCCAGGACTCCACCAGCTCTTGCTTCCCAATGCCCAAAGGACAGTCTGGATAGTCTTGGGGTGCGAGGGACCACTGGTGACCCGAAAGCTATTATAAATGCATGAAGTGATAGTCATGTGCTTGCCTTTACCCCAGGGGCCCTGTTGAATCAACTGAGAAGTGACCTGCAGAGCAGACACCATGAGCATCTCGGCTCTCGGAAGCAGCACCAAAGGTGAGGCCCAGGCTCCCTCTTGTCCCAGTCCCGGGCTCAGTATGTGGCTGCCCTTTTCCAGGCTGGTCCTGCCAAGGCCATGAGCTCTGCCTGGGCAGCAGAGTGAGAGAGACATCTTGGGAAGGCTGGAAAGGAAACCCAGGGTCCTGGGGCTGGGGTCTCCTTCTGAAGCTGTGTAGCCTTGCCCCTGCCAGGGAAGCCTCTCTCAGCAGGCGAGGAGGAACGCAGTAACGTCCTCAGGCAGATGAAGGTGCGAACCACTCTGAAGGGGGACAAGAGCTGGATCACCAAACAGGATGAATCGGAGGGCCACACCCTGTAAGTCCAGGAGGCCAGGAGGGCCAGCAGCAATGGGGTGGGGTTGGGGATGTGATCCATGAGTCTCATCCACACCTGGAGATACTAAGGGTTTTTCACCATTCAGAGCTCAGCCAGGCAATGTGGCCACAGGCCAGCTGGGGAAAGCAAGGCAGCTGAGGGTAAAACTCAACCAAAGTCACAGGGCAGGAAAGCCCTGGGTGCTGGAGTGTACATTTGCAAATGCTTGTGGAAAGAGAAGGTGAGATGGGAATGGTGAGTCAAGTTGCTGGGGTGCATGTACTGTACCTCTCTCAGCTGCCTTGGGACCCAGCAGACAGTCTCTAGAATGGAGGCAACAGGGTGGCTGATGGTAGGGGGCTTGGGAGCCACTTTTTGGAGACCTTTCTTTCCCCAGAGAGCTGCCCTCTGGTCGGAGTCGTGCCACATCTTTTTCATCACCTGGGGAGATCCCAAAGGCCAGGTAAGAAGTGGTACCCAGATGGCTGGTAGGTGGGCCCCATGCTGCAGTCCTCAGGGAACAGAAATGGAGTCCAAGCTGAGAAAGGATGTCAGGGTCTGCAGCATGTCATTTGAAATTCAAAAGAAGGATGGGTTTTTCCACTCTGCTCCCCCTTGGGAAAGGGAAAGCAAGAATAACTGGGTCTAGTTTCCTGGCCTTGCTGTGTGGCCTTTGGGCCAGCTGCCTTCCCTCCTGGACCTCCATGGTTCCACTTGTCAACTGTGATCAAAATTGTCATTAAAAAAAACCTGCAGGGAGTAAGACAATGTCTGTGAGGTGCTTTGAGAGTCACACATGACTCCCTCCATAGGTAGCCCTGATTGCTGAGTGCCCCTGGTAATTGTCATGCCAGGGGAGACTCTCACATTTTCGACAACTGTCTCCTAAGTTTAGGATGATATATTTTGACAGCTGTCCAAGGGGAAAAGTCCCCTCTCTATTTCAAGGACTTTTGCAAAGAGGTGTCCAGGGTGGCTCTGAAGTGTGGAAACATCTGCCCAAATCTTCAGGAACTGCTCCTGAGAAAGGGGGGGTTGGACACAGAAATTCAGGCTTGCTCCTTTCTCCAAACAGCTGGCAGTTGACAGCAAGTGCATTGCCAGGACCTTTCTCAGGTGGTGGTAGAAATAGTGGCAGCATCTGGAAGGGAGGGATCCAAGTTCACTGCTAGCCCCAGGGGCTGCCTTTGGCAACTGTGGCCTTGCCCTCATCCCTCAATGACTTAGTGCCCACTACCTGCTGGGTCCTGTGCTGAGCACAGAGGAAACAGCCCTCTCCTCAGGGAACTGACATCCTAGCAGGGGCCACACGTACAACTCAAGTAGAGAGATGAACATACAGTAGAGAATTGCAGTTGGTGAGGTTGGCAAGGACCTGCAGAGAGTTCAAGGATAGTCTCTTCATGGGGAGCTTGTTTACTTTAGGGGTACAGGTCTCACCTCTGGCTTTAGTTTGGGAGTACATTTGGAAAGCACGTCCTGGGGTTTTGTGACTCAAGGCCCAGAGAGGGGTACCCAGAAGTCTACATAAACCTCAGCTCTCATTCTTTCCCAAGGGGATCCAGGGCCAACCAGGGGCCATGGCCTAGCCTCCCCAGCACACAGGCATTTTAGCCAAAAATGCTCATTGTGGCTAGGAAGGGTGCAAGAGGCCTTTCTTTCTCAGGTTTCACCCCAAGTGTTCCTGGAACTTAGTCACCTCCAGGAGGCTGTCCTCAGTCAAATACAGGGTCTGTCGAGGTGGAGAACACTGGGCCTCTGTGCTGCCCTTCCTGTCTGCATGAGGCCCCTTAGGCCCAACGCTGCTGCTCAGCCCCAAGCTCCTCTGTCTCTGGGAAGAGTCCTTATCTCTTACACCTGAGCCCTGGCTTCCCACACTGTCAGACCTTGGATCCCACCTCCAACCCTCTGAGTTCTCTGAAACCCCTCAGTTGCTCTGAATCAGGAAGTGCCCAGCACATGGAACCTAGTGCTTTTCAGCCACTGACTAAGCCTTGGCCATGCCCTCAGGTCCCAAAATTCCAAAAAGACTTGTGATGTGGGTGTCTCAGGGGTTGGAGGAGGGGAAGCCCCAGAGGAGGGAGAAGAGAGGGTCAGCTGGCCTTGGCTGGCTCATACTTGGGCTCTGCCCCTTAAGCCCTCATGAACTTTCCTGGAAAAAGCTGGGGGTAGGGAATAGGTCAGGAGCCATGGCTTCTGTCTGCCATGTCCTTAGCCTCAAGCCTCTGACCATGGAGCATCAAGCCTGAGCTGGATCAGCTTCAAAAGCAGAAGGTGGGAGGGCTGTCAGCAATCCCACAAAAGCTCTCACTCAGGAGAACTGAGACGCCTGGCAAGCCATGGAGAAGTCAGAATGTGGAGGGGACACCTCTGTAACAAATGCCCAGCCAGAAACCATGCCTTCCTAGGCACCTGTTGTGAGTCAGGGCCATGCTGGTCTGGATCCAGAACAATCAGCCACAGGCACTTTTACTGGGGAGCATGAGAGAGACAGGCAGAGCGAGCAGGAACCAGGCTAGGGGTGCATGGTAGCTGGCTTTCTTGGGAAGCTCCTGGCCACTCCTATTCCTCTTGTTCTGACTGCACTGGGACACCCACCAGCCAAGCCACTTTGCTGTCATTGGGGACAGGAGAAAGTAGGACCCTCCAGCAAAGCCATGATTCACTTCATGCTTTCTTTCTCCCTGGCAGACCTACAAGCACAAGGGCTTCCACTGGCTATATCATCCGGTAGGTGATGGCAGGACCCTGCCGGCCTCCCTGCACCCACCTGCACTGCCCCCTGGCTTCTCTCTGGGAGCTTAATGGACTGCTTCTTCCGGGCTGTCTTTTAGGGGAGTGTTCACCAAGCCCATAGACAGTTCGTCCCAGCCTCAGCAGCACTTTCATAAGGCCAACGGAGCTCCAAAAAGGTGTGTCCATGGGGCACTGGCCAGCCAGCCAGTGGGGAGTTATGAGGGCCTGGGCCAGGCTCATGGCAGAGAGAATACTCTGCCTGTCACTGAGGTGGTGGTGGCAGCTTTGTTCTTGTGTAGGGTAAGGCCTTGGAGAACAACACAGAGGGGACCAGAGGAGATGAGTGTGTGTGTGTGTGTGTGTGTGTGTGTGTGTGTGTGTGTGTGTTTGCGGGGAGGGGGGGGAGGTGGTGATACAGTTGCACCATGGGAACTGGAAGCCCCCAGGTGTGTGTGTAGCCTGGTTTGGGCCCTCTGGTCTCTGGGAGTCCCTGGGCCACTACTGGTGACCTTGCTCTTGAGCCAGTCCTGACTAGCAGGGAGCTTTGACTTACTGATTGACTGCAGTGAGCTGTGTGCTTTCAGGCACCTTCCCAGTAGGCTGAGGTGGCATACTGTTACATCTTGATGTCAGGCCAAACTCGGACTCCATCAGAAAGGCAGAGCTGAGGGGGCTGGGTCTGCCCTTGGCAGCAGGGCTGCCCTGCTCAGGATGCTGCAGATGTTCTGGGTATCTGGCAGGGCTGAGAGCAGAGAAGAAAGGTCACCAGCATTCTCTCATCCACCTACCATATGCCTGTTGGGCTATGTAGGCAAATCTGGAGGCAACAGGGGGCCTGCAGATGGGCACATGAAAATTCCTTGCTTCTCCAGCATGGCCAGTCTGGTGAGAGAAGCTCCCACTGGGCCTCTCCATCCCTCCTCCTCTGGATACAAGATGACCACTGAGGACTACAAGAAGCTGTGAGTATGTAATTGCAGACCCAATTCAGTTCCCTCCTCCAATGGACAAGTCCAAACACCGGCCTTCTGAGGGCAGTGAGCTGCTTGCCTCTGGGCACAGTCCAGGAGTACTAGTCCTGTTGGCCTGATGTCCCTGCCAGTTGATGATGTGACCTGGAGCCCACCAGAGGGTGACAAGCCCCAGAAAGTTGGATGTCCATGCACACTGCACTCTCATCTGAGGCAAAGCAGGGTGTGCAGGAAGTTTGTAGAAGGGGGTGGTAGGTCTGGAGAAAGGATCATGGGTCATGGCCTTGAGGCTGCTTCCAGCTATGTTTCTTGGACATGCCTCTTTACTCCCCCTGCCTGGGCTTTCAGCATGGGCTGGGCCAGGCCAGGCCAGGCTAAGGCCTGACAATCCTAAGCATGCTGCTGGCCATGACAGTCTATCAGTTATGGACATTTTGTGCCTAAATCTGAGCTGCTACTTAGATTTAAATATTTGGGGTTCTCTCTAGAGTTTCCCTCATGGCCTGTACCAAAGGCCCCCTCCTGTGTGCCCAGGCTGGGGAGCTCTGGACAGAATTGTAGGTTGTGCCCATGGTCCCCGGGGGCCCTACATCTTTATATTGTTTTTTCCTTGTCACCATCGTCCAGTGGCATGGAGCAGCTAGGGTATCTTTCTGGAGAAGGGGTGAGGCTTGAACTGGGTCTTAGAGGACAATTAAAGTTGAAACATGGAGAGAGAGGAGGGCTGGCACTCGAGGAGAAAGAAGTGGCATTAGCAAAGACCCAGAGGCAATGATGCCAACATGTTGGTGTTGTTGGAAGTCAGGAAGCCAAGCTGCTGAGGATGGCAGCTTATGACAGAGAGCAGGAGTGGAGGAACAGGGAGGAGGAGTCATAACTGCCAGCATCCTCAATCCCTCTCACTCCCCATCCCTCAGGGCACCCTACAACATCAGGCGCAGCTCAGCCTCAGGGGATGCTGGAGAGGAGGATGTGCCCTTCTCTTCTGATGAGCAGAAACGGAGGTAATAGTACTCACTAGTCATCCCATGGGCAGGGCTGGGGCCCAAGTCTGCACAGACTAGTGAAATAAGAATTGTGCCAGTTGGGGTGGTGAAATATGTAACACTTAGGACATCATTGCTGGCCTATGAGCTGGAAGAGTGGCTGCTAGCAACAGGTGTCATCCTTGAGTCCCAAAACCATCCACATTGCTGGGCCAGCTCAAGGGGACCCTCTTATGAACATTCTATGAGGCAGAACCTAAGTAACAAGGGTTGAGGGACAGCCTCATCTGTGAACAGAGGGTGGAAAGGGGTGTGCTTCAGGACTTTATATCAGTTTATTAAAAAAGACCAAAATAAGCTGCACAGGGGACCCTCAGAAGAGCCCTCTGTGTATGTGTTGTGTGTGCAGAGTCAGTGGAAGGCCTGCATGCCTGGGGGACAGGGCCAGGCTCTAGAGGTTCTAATGCCCCTCACCCCAAAATGAGGCCAAGTGCTTGGGCAGCAGCTAAGACCCAAGGAAATAAAGTTCTCTGGGCTCAGTCTGCCCCTCCCCAATCCCAATGTCTGCCACCCCCTCTGTAGCTCAAGAAACAGAGCAAAGCCCCTGTTGAGGGCCTGGCAGCCAAGCAATCCTAACGGCAGAGTTCACAATGACAGGGATCCCTGTGCCTGGAAGGTGCTGGGGAAGAGCCAGGCCACCTGGCATTGACTGCTTACTCTGACACCAGCTAAATGTGTGATCCTGGGCAAGCCACTACGACTTCCCATACCTCAGTTTCCTCATCTGTAAATCATGGGTGATAGTAACACCTACCTTCCTGGGGTGTAAGCAATGAGCCAATGTGGACTGGCAGCATCCATTGCTCAATAAACAAGGGCTGCACTTCCTTTGGTCTCTTCTTTCCACTGAATGGTCCTCAGAGCAGGCGCTAAGCTGGCTTTGGCCCCTTGCTTTGCTGTGGTGGCCAGAGCCATTCTGAGTACCTGTCTGTCAGATGCCCCATTGCCACCACAGGTCAGAAGCTGCAAGCAGTGTGGTGAGGAAGACAGCTCCCCGGGAGCGCTCCTACGTCCTGTCAGCGGCCAAGAAGAGTACCAGGTGAGTTGCACAGCAAGAGATATAGCTCAGCCACCATCCAGTTCCATGCTCTGAACAGTTCCTGTCCCTTCAGGGTTCCGGTATTCCTCTGCTTGGTGAAGGGTGGGGTGAGTGGGCCTTCTTAGCTGGACCTTCTGAGATTCTCAGATGTAGTTTTCTGGAAAACTGAGGGATCTGGCTGCTGCCATCAGGACAGACAAGGTGCTAGGAATGAGAGAGAGGCCCAGGACCCTCTGGGGCAGAGTGGTCATGATGTCACCTGTCTTCTCCATGGATTCTGCCCAACACATCACCTTTCTACCTCCTTTCCAGCAGCCCTGTCCAGGAGATGCAGGCCCCATTCATTGCAAAGAGGTAAGTGTCAGTAAGGGAGGCCTTAGAGGCCTGTTGCTGGCCATGGAGAAGGCTACCTTTTGGCAGGGGTGTAGTGTGGACACTGGGGAAAGGGTCATGGGATGGGGTGAGGCTGCTGTTCCTGAGCAGGGGTAGTTGTAAGGAGCTGACGGCTTCTGTCAGGAGGCCAGGTGAGCACCTGGGTGGCTGTGGTGGCACATATGGCCTCAACATCCAGTTCTGTGTAGGCAGGAGCTTAGCTGAGAAAACACAGCTTGTGGTTGAACTCTCTCATTTGCCAGTAACTAACAGGGCTGGTCCCCTGACCCAATATGGAACCATAGTATTTCCAAGGGCCTCTGGGATTTTGAAGCATAAGTAGTTATGGGGTACAAGGATTTGTTCCCTTGCCCTCCCATTTTACCAGGGACAGGCTGGACAATGCCCATACAGGAGCAATCATGGGGATGGGGTCCAGAGGCTTGTCATTGGGAGTCCCTGCCTGACTGACCAAGCCTTTGGAAGTGACCATGATATTAGAGATGGGCACTAAAGGGTGAAGAGGGTTTAAAAAGGAATGATCAGGACATCAGAACACTTCAGCTGAGTGAGGAAGGAGTGTCACCATTAGGTGAAAAGGACATCTTCTGGGAGAGGAGAATATTTGGAGAGGACAAGGAAGAAACTTCTGGAAAGTTGAATTTTAGGGATATTCCACTGGGTAGACAGGGAAGACCTTCGTAATGAGCTGAGGACTAAAAACTGTGCTGGAAGACCAGAAAGGCTGACTGGAATACAGCCAGCAGAAGGTGGTGTGCTCTTGATGGCTATATTAGGTTCCTGCAGCTGCTATATTCAAGTACCACAAACTGTGTGGCATAAACACCAGAAATGTATTGTATCCAAGTTCTGGAGAATATAAGTCCAAGATGAAGTTGTTAGCAGGGTTGGTTCCTTCTGGAGGCTCTGAGGGAGAAACTGTCCCAGGCCTCTTTCCTACCTTCTGGTGGCTACAGGCAACACTTGGTGATCCTTGGCTTATAAATGCATCACTCCAGTCTCTGCCTCCATCTTCACATGACTTTCACATGTCCATGTGTAAATTTCCCTCTTCTAATAAGGACGTCAGCCATTGGATTTAGGGACCACTCTATTCCATCATGCCCTAATTTAACCATGATAACATCTGCAAAGACCCTATTTCCAAATAAGGGCACAGTCACAGGTTCCAAGCAGACATGGATTTTAGAGGGACACTATTCAACATAGTACGCTGTCCTTATCACAAGGTGGAATCGCTGAGCCCCCAGCCTGGGCCACCTTATGGTCATAGACTCCACTGAAAGAAAGTATGTCCTTCAGGGGCAGCTGAGCAAGCGATGCATCTGTTTCTCTTCTTGCCCAAAGGGTGGAAGTGGTGGATGAGGACTGGCCTTCTGAGAAGAGGCAGGACCCACCTGCTCTGGCAAAATCCCCTCCTGGCTCCAGCAGGTAATCAATCACTCATCTCTGCCTGGGGCTGGTGGCTGCCAGGCCTGCCTGTCACTCAGTCACTGTGGAACTAGGTCACCTCCTTGCAGAGACTCAGAGTCAGTGAGGGCCTATCTGGCTGGATATCCTAGGGCTGAAAGGAGCAAAACAGTCTGGCCTCCAGGAAGAGAGCACTGAACTCTTGTCTGTTTTGTGGTTATCTGTGTCACGAGGTTGAAGTGGGTTTGCCGCCAGGGCACCAGGTTTGTTCACGGCTCTTCTAAAAGTTGGCCAAGTTCAACCTGCCAACCCTGTCCTCCTGCTCCTGCTGGGAAAGGAGGCTCCACAGGCCCCATGCCACTCACAGATGCCTTTTTTGCCAGTGTGGACAGAGGCCGAGCCAAAGTGTCTCGTGCAATTTGGATTGAGCGCATGCCGAGTCTGCTGAGCCCTGCCAGGAGCTTGGAGCCCAGGTGGGTGTTGTGAACTGGCTCTGGCCTGTGAGCTGGTCAGATGGGAGGATCTGGCAGTGGGGTGACAAGGCAGGGTCAGACTGAGCATTGGTGATCTCACTTCAGGCAGGGCCCTGATTTTCCCTGATTTCTGAGCTCTGAGTGTCTGAGCAGATAATGGTGCTCTCTTGCCTGCGAATGAAGAGCAATCAATACCTCTTAGTACTTTGCGCTGAAGCCTAAGTCCTGTTGAGAACACCACCACCCTATTGTCGCTGTTGTTTAAAGCGCCTGCCTGAATTTGGAGCTCTGCCCAAATCCAGGTCTGCTAAAAGTTGTGCCTCTGTGGCACCCTTGGAAGACCCTGAAGCCAGAGGGGCAGAGCACCTATCACTACAGGTCACTTTTGGGGACTCCAGGAATTGTTCCAGCTCTCATAATGCCACTGCAAGCCCCATTCCCCTCCTCAACTCAAGCCCCACAGTGATTTATATGTGCTCACAGTCCTCAGGGTCACCTCTGTGCCAGGAGAAAAACAGATCACCTGCCACAGTACTAGTGGAGAGCGAGGCTGCAGACCTTCTCTGCCCAGAGGGAGCAGCAAGACAGCTGGGCTGGGTCTGGGAGAGGAGGGGAAGGGACACCTGGGGCCTTTCTGCCAGAAAGCCCTTCCTCTTCACTCAATCCCTCTTTTGATCCTCCCTGTTTGTCTGAACTTTTATCCATAAGAACTTTTGAACAAGTGGAAATATTTGAGAACTCTTCACAAATGTAGCATTGATGGGACTTGGTGGGTGATAGGATATGGGGGCTGTCTTAGGTTGCTAGAGCTGCTGTAACAAAGTCCCACAAACTGGGTGAATCAAACAACTGAAATGTATTGTCTCCTAGTTCTGGAGGCGGGAAGTTCAAGATCCAGATGTTGGCAGGATTGGCTCCTTCTGAGGGCCCTCTGCTTGGCTTTTAGATGGCTCTCATCTCACTGTGTCCTCACATAGTCATCCCTCTGGGGGTGTCTGTGTCCTGATCACCTCTTTTTATAAAGATACAAGTGAGATTGGATTAGAGTCCACCTCAATGACCTTATTTTACCTTAATCACCTCTTAAAGATCCTATCTCCAAGTACAGGCACATTCTGAAGTCCTGGAGGTTAGGACTTTAACATACAAATTTTGAAAGGGACACAATTCAGCCCAAAACAGTGCACATCTCTGATTCTTCTTTACTTCTCTTTTTTAAAAAAAAGTAATGAATAGTTTCATATGCTTTTTAAAACAGAATATATGAGGAAAATTCATTTGTACTATATTATAGATTTGAGAGGCATTTTGACATTTATTCCAGAAAATTCCTTTGAATGTTTAATACCCACTACCTGGCTGTCATAGCTGGGTAAGTCTGCTGCAGCTGCCATAACAGAATACCCCAGCTGGTGGCTCAAACAACAGAAATGTACAGCCTCCCAGTTCTGGAGGCTGTATATTTCAGATAAAACTTGCCTGTAAAGCCCCGGGAAACAGAACTAGAACCAGATTCTGGAATGTTCCAGACACCAGAGGTGTCTCACAATGAGTCAGCTTCCTCCCGGAAGAATGGCTGGTTAGGCAGGCATAATGCTTCTCATAGTGCTGTTTTTCTCAGATTCTGCAATCACCAAATATCTGGACCCCACCAGGCAGCTTCCAGGTGAGCTGCTGGCCAGTCCTGGATAGCCTTCCTCTCTAACCTGACCCAGTCAGGCCCTGCACTGGGCCAGGCAGCCATCATTAGTCTCCAATGCCCAGCTCCTGTCTGCCTGCCTATCTGAGAAGTCCAGGCCTGGCTATGACCCTTAAAGAATCCTAGCCCTATGGGGAGCAGTGACTCAACCAAACCCCGGGTCTTCCAGCACCTCAGAAGAAGCTGTTTCATGGCAGAGTGGGACAGAAGAATATCATAGCCTTGTCCCCAGGCATTGTCTTGCTGAGGCTGCCCCCACCACAAGCCTGCCCCTGTTCTGTTCCCCTTGGCTCAAGTCTGAAGGTCAGCTCCTCATCTCATGCAGCAGGCCAACCATGAGAAGCACCCTTGTCTTAGGTTCCAAACCCTTTATAGACTTTAAGGAGGGCTGAAAGGTTGGGTCAGGAATTGCCAAACAAGGATGCCCACAGGCTGTGTTCTCAGGGCTCTCCAGCTCTTTCTTTCCATTGGAACTCCATTCTCGCTCCAGACCCCAGGCCTGCCTGGGCATCCCAACGGCCCCTCAACTCCAGTGTCCACATCTACTCTACTTGTCTCCACCATCACCCACCCATATACACCGCTCACACATGGAAGGGGCCCTCCCTCCATGTCCCCCAGGCTTGGTTTCTTGGGTTAATCTAGTTTTTCTTGCTGTGGGATAACTCCTTCCCACCTTCCAAACTGAGCTCATTTGGATACCCTCTCCCAGAAAGACTGACCTGTGTGAGGGCCCCTGGGCCTGACTGCTGCCCTATCACAGCACTGTTCAAGCTTCCTTGGCACTCTGCCTCATCCAACCAGGGCAGGGCCTGCAGACTGTGCCTCAGCATGCTGCCTCGTAGGGTAGCTGGGAAGCAGTGGGTAAGAATACAGCTTCCAGCACAAGACAAAATCTTGGCATTGCCCCTTACTGGATGTGTGATCTTGAGAAAGTCACTTTACCTCTCTGTGCCTCAGTTTCTTCATGTGTAAAATAGGGAGCAGTGGTAACTACGACCTGAGGCTGCCCCAAATACTAAATAGGAAGAGGCTTTGTAAAGTCCTTTGAGTAGTGCCTGGGTGTTGGTATTGTCAGGTGCTCCCCACTAGAGGCCTGCTGATTTGCAGGGCCCTTCTTCAAATGACAAATGATGCCAATATTATCGCCTGCTGGCCTCTGAGTAAAATGCATGTGTGGGCTCTGGAGGAGGAGGTACAGGTATCTCCCAATTTTTGAAAGTTCACCTTCTGCCAGTTTGCTTTTAAAAAAGCCAAAAGGCCTACATTAGTATGTGTATTTGCTAACCAAAAGAAACCTGAAGAGGATTTTTGCTTTTATGAAAAGAGGTAAAAAGCAAAAATAGCATTCAGATCATTGCTTCTTCCCTTTACTCAATTTCGACTTTTGAAAGGTTTCATAGGAACACTCTGCTTTCGGATAGCTGGTGAAACTTGTACTCCCTCCTCCTTCCCCTGCCTCTCTCCCTTTTTTAGCTGATGAGTTGCACACTCTTTGGCACAGGCCGCTGTCAGTCACATTCCCACGGGCAGCTGGGGCTGCACTGGATGAATGAGTGTTCCTGGCCTTCAGCAGCTCTTAGCCTAGCTGAGAACTTCAGATTGGACTAGAACCATCTGGTTGAGGGTCTGGGGAGGTGGCAGGCTTGTGTGGGGCTACAAGGGAGGAGAGGCTGGAAGGTTCTTGAATGCATTTGTTGTGGCTGCTGTGGCAAGGTGTCAGAAACTGGGTGAACTGAACAACAGGGATTAGTCCTCACAGTTCTGGAGGCCAGAAGTCTTAATACAAGGTATGGGCAAGCCTGTATGCTCCCTCCAAAGGCTCTAGGGGAGCATTGTTCTAGAATTTTCTCTTAGCTTCTGGTATTGCCAGCAATCCTTGGTGCTTCCTGGTATGCAAGTGCATCACTCCAATATCTGCCTCTGCCTTCACATGGGTGTCTTCTCTCTGTGTTCCTGTGTCTAAATGTCCCCTTTTTATAAGGACACTAGTCATATTGGGTTGGAACCCACCATACTGCAGCATGACCTTATCTTAACTAATTACATCTGCAATGACCCTATTTCCAAATCAGGTCACATTCATAGATACCAGGGGGTTAGGACTTCAACATACCTTTTGGGGGATGTAATGCAACCCATAACAGCCCCTCTGGAAGATCTCTCATTTGACCTGGGTCTTTAAGAAGCAGTTGCTCAAGGGGATGACGAAGGAGAAGGAAGGTGTTGAGGGAGAGGTGTCAGCTTGGGCAGACTGAGGCAATACTTTGTTCCTATTTCTTCTCTGACATAACAAGAAACACCAGTGAGAAAGTATTTTTTTACTTGCCTGTAACATCCCCAAGTGGAGTGTGTCCCTGCTCCCTGGTACCCTGTGCTTTAGATGGGGCAGAATCAGGCTGGTGACCAGGGGTTTTATGCTGTCATCATCATTGTCATGGGAGGAGACAGGTGGAGATCAGAGCTGCCCATGTGGACTGGGCACCCTCCTGGCTTTCATGTGGGGAAAGGCCCTGTCCCTGGCAGCCCTGCTGTTTCACTCTGGTCATCTCCAGTGTCCCCAGGAGGGACAGAGATGAGTAACCCACTAATCTAGCCCTCCACGAACTCCCAGTCTAGGTTGGAGCCAGGTTCCAGGGTCAACACCCAGGCTCACCCACTTCCCTGCTTTCACTTTGGCTCCTCTGATCACTCCTCCTCCTAGGGACCCTGGAGTGGCCTTTTAAAGTGCCAGTATGATCATGTCAAGCCCTCATCCCCTACTTTAAGCCCATCCTGTGGCTCCCCTTTGCTGCACCATATCTGGTATCGGCATTTAAGATACCTGCCAACCTCCACCTCCCCCTTTCGCATCTCCCTCCAGCTGGGCTGGGGGCTTCACCAGGGCAGGCCTGAGGCTTGCCCCCATCTGGACCCCCAGTGCCCAGCCCAGTGCCCATGGGCAACCAAAGGAAGAAGTGGACCTAGAGAGGTGTGGTTTGGGGTGAAGTCAAGGAGCTCTAGGTTCTCTCCAGCTCTGGCCACCACCATGGCCCAAGGCTACTGGGTATCAGGCCCTGCAATGGAGCCAAAAAAATGAATCAGACTTGAAGGGATGTGTGCTGTCACCTGCAGGCCTGGCTCTGAGCACAGGAACCCTCAGAGGGACCTACTGAGTACTGAGAATGTCTGATCCTCTGTGGGCTCATGGGCCCACTTCCCGTCATCCTTCAGTCTCTGCCATCCCTCTCCCACTGGCTCTCACTTTAAATTTGGTTTATAGGTTTCCTAGGCATCTTATTCATCATCAGTCTGCATTAGGCCATGAGCTCAGAGTTCCTACTGGCCTCACAAATAGCCACTTTGGACACTCCAATCTGGCCATAGGCAGTGTTTGTGGCAGCAGCTACAGACAGGGTGTTGAGGCTGGGTGCTTCCGTTTTCACCCAAAAGGGCTCCTCTCTGTGCCTGAAGGGGGCTGGGTTTGAGAGTGTGAGACTGGTGAAGGGGCCCTTCACTCCCCTTCCTCTGGAGCCTGGAGGTCGGTGGCCCAAACTCAGCTGCAGCACCAAGAAAGCTCAAGGCGAAAGAGAAGCCAAGAGGGGGAAAAAAAGCAATGGATCTGGGTGTCCACTTCACTAGCCAGGAGTCTCTTGAGGGAGAACACCCTTGGAAGCCCAGAACAGTTGGGGAAACTTTTCTTACCAGCATCTCTCTGGCTCTCTCCTTTGGCTACAGCACAAGAGGTGAAGAGATTGTCCGCCTACAGATCATGACGCCGGGGGCAGGACTCTGCCTGATGGCCCCAGACCTGGAAGGAATGAGGTACAGGGACCCTGCTGCTGTTCATGCTCTTTCCACACCATTTTAGAGACGAGGTTAACAGGGCCAGCAGGCAAATGATGAGGCCTGGAGTCTGGTTGGTGGGAGACATGGTCGACCTGGGCTCTCTGTCCCCACCTCATTCTTTTACTTCACAACTATTGGGGAATAAGCACTTGGTCTGTGGGAGCCAAGCTCCACTCTAGGTACCCAGCAGAGTCCCAGCAGACCCCCTGACCACAGGTGCTGACTGTCTGGTGGGGAAGGCAGATGTAAACATGAACCAGCTATGGTGGCTCAGTCCTGCGGAGCCCTGAGGACCGGACAGGCCAGCCATGCTGGGTGAGGACATGGGGTTTGCAAAGCCCCATGAGGTCACTGGAGCAGTTGCTCTGCCTGTGTGAGGGGAGCCACTGGGAATGGGGTGGAGTCACTGGGTCAACCTAACAGCTCATGATGCCACCGTGTCCAGTGCTGGAGAGGGTGAGGGACAGGGGCCACAACCAGAAGGGAGCACATCAGGCCCAGCCCTTGCCTGGGGAGAGTGGGCAGATGGCCAGGAAACAGGAAGGTGGAATTCAGGGGGTTAGGGCCTGGGCAAGAGGAGGTCTGAGCAAAGAGGGGCCACTTCTCCCTGGAGGGACAGGCCAAGGGAAGAATGCCTCCCTGCCTCTCTGCAGCACTCTCTCTCCTGCTCATTTAGTTATTCACCCAACTAGTGTTTATTGAGCCCCTACTGAACATCTGACCTCAATGTCAGAGCCTGGGAGGCAGCTGTAAGGCACCAGGTCTGGGACCCTGCCTTTTGAAGCCTGGAGTCTGGGAGGGATGCCAGAGTGTATGCCCAAGATAATCCCTGAGGCACTGGGAGCTCTGAGCAGGGACCTCTCACCAGCATGGGGATGAGGTGGTTAGGGAAGGCTTCCAGGAGAAAGTGGCATCAAAGATGAGTCCTAATGGATCTTCTCCTTGGCTCCTCCTCTGCAGTCCAGCCCCAGTCAAGCACTGAGTCCTGTCCACTCTATTTTAGAGATATTTCTGTCCCTACTACCTTCCCCTGGGTCCAGGCCTCTACCATCACTTGCCCAGCTGTCTGTAACTGTCTTTTAGGGCCCTGTCTCCAGACCCTCCTCCACATCTCTACCTGGGTAACATTTCTAAAAGGCAGAAGCAGTCCTGCCAGCCCACTGGGATGCCTTTCCCCTCTGCATTTTTCAGTCTCATCTCAGATGTCCCTCCTCTGGGGAACCTCCCTCCTTGCATTTCTTTCTGAGGTAGTATCTGTGAAGGACTTTCCCCACTGAACTCTCACAGTGCTGTGTTCATACCTACACCAGAGAATCTTCCACACAGTTGTCCTCTCATGGGTCAGTTTGCCCCAAGAACCTTGAGCACCTGGAGGGCAGAGACTTCATTCCCTTTGGATCCCAGCACAGGGCATGGCCTAGAATAAGAATGTAGGAGTGTTTGTTACTGGAATGATCAAGAATCATCCAGTGAGACAATGTCTTTAATCAGGCAACACTGGAAGCCACTTCATTGGTTTTTCTAAGGTGACCAGTCTCTGAGAAACAGGGGCAAAGTGACTCCTAGAAATGCAGGAGGAAACCAGGCTGCCTCTGAAGGAGCCATAAGGCCTCTGACACTTGATCTGGGAGTGGCCAAGCTCATTAAGAGCTCTTGGACTGCCCCTCTCCCACTTTCCATCAGAAAAATCAAGTTGGAGAGAAAGAAGGAAAGCCAGAATTCTCCAAGCCTTGCCCTGCCCCAAGTAGATGCAGTCACTACGTCCATTTTACAGATGAGTAAACAGACCCTGAAGGGTCACATGGCCAAGAGCAGGCAGATCCAGGACTCCCACCCAGGCTACCTGACTCCCACCCTGCACCTTTGCTCCATAACTCACTATACTAGTGGGAACCAAGGGGAGAGGTGATATAAATACTTAGTGTTTTTTGTATGGATATATGGTGAGATTATTTGTATGCATCCAAACGCATATTACTAGGAAGAGTTCGATGGTTTGTGGCTGAGGTTTGGGAGAAAGGTCAGGGCTCAAGATATTTCCATGTTATATGCAGACAGATGAAAGCTGAAATAATGGGGCTCAATGTTGATTTTTACATGGGTTACAATGTCAAGGGAATCAAGGAGAGAGGGGATGGCAAGTTGGGCACACACCAAAGTGTGGAGGAGGCAGCTGGCTGGTCTGGAGTAGTCAGGTCTGGCCAGGTTTAGCATTAGCTACTGGAAGACCAGTCTGGAAGACAGTGGGGGTTATGGGTCAGGAGCACAGAGGAGAGGTGGGAAGAAGCAGAGAGGAGCAGTTGATGCCATGGATGCAGAGGAAGCGGTCAAGGTGTCAGAGCATGCAAATGGAGTTGAACACTGGGAACATCAAAGTTTAAGGGGCCGAAGAGAAAAAAACAAAGGAGACTGGGAAGGTGTGGCAAAGGAAGTAGAGTGTGGTGTCACAGAATCAGGATGTATGGATGGGGGAGAGAAGGTGGAAATGTCCCACTGGGTCATTATTATTGTCTTGAATGGCAATAATAATAGGAGTGTCTCTGTTGGGTTTCACACTATGGGGCTCTCTGATGACCTCAGAGAAAACAGAGGGAGGTTGAATTGGGAGGTTAGGATCAGTCTTACACCACAGAGGATTATAGTCCAGAACTCCGAAGTCAGACTGGGTTCAATTCACAGCTCTTCCCCTTGTTACCTATGAAACTTGAGATGAGTCACTTGGGCTTTCTATGCCTCATTCTGCTCATCTGGAAAGTGGACATGGATAATAACAGTGCCCCTGTTGTGGAATTGATGTGGAGAGTTAATGCGTGCAGAGTCATGGTCTGGCCCTCAATCAACAGTAGTTATTAGTAATGAGATTTTGAAACTTGGCCAATCCTGCAATATCAAGTTTTAAGCTCTTTGGAAACAGCTGGCATTTAGGGATGAGGTAACTGCCTCCACCTGAGTGTGAGTGGCTGCTGAGTGGTTAACTTATGTTTCTTTCTTTCATAGGTCTTCCCTGGACTTCAAGGACAAGGGAACCTTCAGCTCCAGAGAGCCCAAGAGAGACTTGGCTGGTGAGGAGGCCCTTAAGGGCCCCAATCCAGACTCTGAAAGGTAACTCAGCGGAGGGACAGAGAGCTCACATGGCCCTCAGTCTAAGGTCCATGGTTGGAGCTGGGACGAGGACTGCCCTACTCACCGTGTTCACAGTGAATATCTGTTGGAAGAATGAATGAAAGAATACATGAGGCCTGGAGAGGGGCAGACCCCTGCCAAAATCCCTCAGGAAACCAGTTGCACAGGAAGATGAAACTTCAGGCCAGGCCACCCCCACTCCAGCCCTTGGCCCAACCTCACTGTGTTTTTATGTCATTGAAAGCACTCCTACCAATGGCCAGGGAAAACAAGGCCTCCAAGTTCTTGTCAGTATGGGAAAGTCAGTGACCAAACAATGCATGGGCTCCATCAGAGCATCTAGAAGGGACTTCCAGGATGACCTGTGCACAAAGGGAAATGTGGGGGGAGGGGCAGCAAGGATGGGAGGTGGAGGCTTGGTGAGGAATGATGAGTCCAGAGGGCATGGTTGTGCCCAACCTTCCTACAACCATCTCACTGATCAGGGGAACCCAGGTGTGGTGATCAGTGGCTGAGAGTTGGGCATTTCCTCAGCAGGAAGCTGGTGCCAGTAGCGGATAGGAGCCACCATCTTCTCAGTATGGAGCCCAGCACCCCTAGCTGGGACTTAGCCGTGGGAATGAGGGAAGGGGACCAAGGATGGGTGAAGATTTGTCTCTGCCTCAGGATCTATGGTTTAATTATTAGTGGCTCCAAATGCCTGTGCCTTGTTCTGTTGGCCATTGCCCCCCACTCCATTGTGCCATCCTCCTCCTGAGTTTTCTGGCTCCACTCCTCCTCCCAGCCCAAAAGGTTTTGGAGAAAAGCAGAAATATTTGCTGATATTGGCCTGGTTCCAGTTGGAGCAGTGCAGAATGACAGCCCAGGGCCTGGGCTTCTGGTCCTTGAGACCCACTCTCAGGACATCTAAGTTAGATTAGCTCAAAATCCAATCAGAGTCAGCAAATGCTTCTCTTTCCACAGCAGGTCAAGTGTACAGTCAAGGGATAGCAACATGGGATCCAGAGCCATAGGCTCCCCACCTGAAGTCTTGGCTGGAGCAGACATCAGCTCTGGGAGAGAAGGGTGAGCTGCACAAGGGAAGCAGGTGGCCCCAAGTTGTTGATTCTCTCATGTCCCTGGTGGCAGGCCAGAGTCAAGCAGCTAAAACTGCTTGGGCTGCTGGTCATTTCCCTACTGTATCTCCCATCTCCAGCACTTCAGCCCCCACCACATCCTTTGTCCCTGCAATTCCCACTTCTGGGAAGTACCTATGCTTGAATCTTACTCCTCCTCTTGGCTCTAAAACTCCTCCAGAGTAGGCACCAGGGCCCACTTGCAACTGAAGGTCCAGCTCCTGCCTGGGTGGGCACTGGGTAGATAGAATGAATGTGTGGGGAATGAGTGAAGGGACAAACTAACAAATGAATGATCAAATGGTGGATGAATTGGTGCCTTCTTGCTTTTTGGCTGAGCTCTGAGAACAAGCTAGAAGCTGCTTTCTCCCTTCCCATGCAAAAGCCCCAAAGCCTCCTTTTCCTGCCCCACCTTTCTCCCCTGGCCAGCTCTGCACTGAGCTTTAGTGAAAGGAAAAGCAGCTGCCCCAGTGAGACAAGCTAGAAGACAAGCATGTCCAGCTGGGCTCTAAGGTCTTAGACCTAGGTAGAATCAGGAGCCACTTCATCAGTAATTTGGGGAGTAATAAGATCCCATTTGTCCCCAAGTGGTTCCAAACCAAGCATGAGTCATCCTGGTTGACAAACGTTAGGTATGCAGATGTTCACACAGATAGTTCAGCTCTGAGCTGTGCTAGAACGTTTATAGTTCAGAACAGATGGCCAGAAAAGAATGGCAAAGCCAGTGTCTGCAGAGAGCCTGACTGCACCCTGCCTGCCAGCACCCTGCCCTAGGGCAGTCAAGCTACAGAGGGCATCCCAAGGGAGAGCTTCTGCTGATTGCTTCCCCCACCAGCCCTCCCAGCTGCCTGTGCTTCTTCAAGCCCCCTGGGGTCTCCCTGCCCTCATTAACTTGACTAGTTTGCAACTGATGTTTGGACCCAGAGTCCTGACTTCCAAATTCAGGAGCCCAAGCCAACATGGGAAGGGGACAGCAGGCCCCAGCCTTGGACCACAGTGCCTCAGCAGGTGCCAGGAAAGGCCATTGGGCCAGGGCCTCAGTTCTTTGATCTGTCACTTATGGTGACTGTGCAAGAGCCAACACCTGCAGCCTGCATCACTGTGTGCTGGCCAGCAAGTCATGCAGATTGACTCAGTTGGCTGGTGGCTGTCATAGAAGACTTCTGGTCCAAAGTGATAGGGTCTAGTTCTTGGCTGCTTCATTTTGTAATATTCATCCAGATCATCCTTCTTGCTTACACTCCATCACAAAATGAAGTTTTTGCTTTCAGTTTCTTTAAAATGAAGCCAAACCTCAAATTACATTGCAAAATAAGTTGAAGAATCTTCTAGATTTCTATGATTTTTAACCCAGTCTTTTATATCGTCTTATCTATACTGATTTTGACAATGATTTTTAAGAAACTTGCTTTTACTGTCTTTCCAAAAAAAAAAAAAAAAGTTATTTCTCATTAGTTTACTTAATAATTTAGTGATTATGGTTACAAGTGGTGTGAATGGGTTTAGGAACAAACACCAGGAACTCTTAGTGAGTGTGCTACATAAGTGAAGGGTACAGGCCTGTACAGGTGATAAGATACCCTATGAGCTGCGACTGCTTGGTGTGGTGTAAGAGTCAGTTTTCCTGAAAGACAGAGAATGTGGCCTACCCCTGGGAAGGCCAGGCAAGACAGCACCCACTCAATCTGTTTCAAGTTTATGGATAAACTTGATGGACTCAGTATTAATAACAGGAACACTTTAGCACATGCTAAGGCTCAGGAATTATTCTAAGTACTTGGCATCTATTAACTCATTTACTCTTCTCAGATAACTTGTGAAGCAGACACAATTGTCATCCCCATTTCACTGATGATAAAACTGAGGCCCAAAGAGGTCAGGTGATATGTCCAAGGTCACACAGCTGAGAAGTAGCAAGGCTGATTTGAATCTGGGCAATGTGCCTCCAGGGAGCATGGACTTAGCCACTAGGCAACACTGCACCAGTGGCAAGCAGCTGTGAGATCTGAATATTGTGCTCTGAGCATCTGTTTGAGCAGCTCCTCAGTTCCCAGCATTTGTCAGTGTCAGAAGCTACCCTCTCAGGAGAAAGTAGACATACAGACACAAAGTTCTGAACCCAGACTGAGCCTGGCCTCCTTCCACAGGGTATACTTAGCTGCTGGCTTCACCCCTCTCTTGGATGATGAGGATGTGCATGGTGCCCACTCTCATCCTCACAAACGTGGACCAGCGGCCACCAGGTAAGGGTGGGGTGACTATCTGGTGGTCATTCCCACTTCCAGATACAGCCTTCATGGTTCAGCTTCAGCTCCAGTGCCCCAGAATACCACTCACATTTCTCAGCTCCATGCCACCTTCTTATCAGGTGATCACCACAAGAGAGGGAAGGCTGGGAGGCTCCCCAACCTGCAGCTCAACACCTGCAATAGGAGCAGTGAGGGAGAGAGGACAAATGATAAGTCAGGGGACCCAAACAGCCCAGCACCTACCCTAGGGACCCAAGTTGAGATGGCAGAAAGAGGACATCAGAAGGCAGAGCTTGGGAAGAGATTCTGCTAGGAGGTCTCAGTCTCCTGTAGGGACTGCAGCATAGCTCAGCAAGGAGGGTCAGGGGGAGGAATCCCAGGGAGCATGTGGAGGCAGCTGGGGAGGGCACAGGGCTCTAGGGGCACAAAAGTACGATGGGAACAGGTTGTGCCTTCCCAGGCTACAGGCTTCTGTCCTATTTCATCTACTAATCCACCAGTGGGAATGGCCATTTTGCTGTGGTATACAGAGCATTTAGTAAGGGACAATCTTTCTGGACTCCCAAAACATGCAGGTCAGACAAGGACACTGAAATCCAAAATCAGGAAACTTCCTCAGGGGTAGAGCTTTGTCTTGAACACAGGTGCTAAGGCTACAGCCAAGGCCCACAAGATGTTATCACTCACAGTGGCATCTGTGCCACACTAATGGCAGGACTGAGGCCACCCTTTACTGACAGGTATAGGCCCCCCTTTCCTGTGAGAAGGCACCTGGGCCCCCAGTCTCCTTTGGTCTGAGGCCTCAGCGGGCCTGTGTGCTTTCCCCCTCAGCTCTGGTGCCACTTTGGCTTCTGCTGTACCAGCTGACAGGAAAAGCAATAGCCCAGCAGACATGGAGGAGGCAAACTTGAAGAGGTAAGGTATCAGCCAACAGAGCTGAGCTTCTGTGGTGGAGAGAGGCTGCTCAGGTTTGCATTAGCCTTTGGCTGGAAAGTGAGGCCAGCAAGGCCTATGAGCTGACCCAAGGCATATGGCAAGGGCCAAAGCCCCAGCTGAAACTCTCTGGCCTCTGCCTCTGGGTCCATGGAGCCTTCCACTACATCATGTTGCCTTTAGCCAGGAATTCCTCCATAATCAGGAAGTCACCTACTCTTTCAGTCAGCAGCCACTTGGACAGCAAGTGCCTTGTGCTAGAGGCTGAAGCACATAAATAAATCAGACATGGCTGATGAAGGGCAAAACCTAGCCCAGACAGGAACAACATATCATGCTGGAGCAGGGGAAGAGGAGCAGGCATGGTAGCTTCATGGGGAAGGTTGCTTTTGAGATGACTCTTGAAAGGTGAATAGGAGTCCTCCAAGCAAAGGGAACAATATATACAGAGGACTCCAATCAACCTGGTGTTACCTGGGCACTGTATGTAACTGAGTTGACTCGCACTGAGGGTCCTTGGGGCC